CCCTTTGTCGGATCTGTTAGTTTCGCTTAACATAATTTAATATCTGCGCACTCTATAAAACCGCCGCAGGGCGAAATAGACGCGTCTTCAAAATATGGAAAGAAACCACGCGACTGAAGACGGAAGAGCAATATAAATGCAGCGCTGGCGGCTCGGCGTAATTCCGTAACGGATGATGTATGATGATTGCTGGATTAAACAAGGCGGAATTGGAGGATACGCGTATCCGAGCAGAAAAAAATGCCTAAAAATTTCTCTGGAATCTCGACACACGGCTCGTGAGCTCGCTCGTTACGCGTATAACGTAAAGTATGTTAATTTTACCTACGCTGAAAGATTCTGGCGTTAACGTCGAAATCGATTATCCAATCGCTCTCATAGGGGCATAGTTCTCTTGGTACAATATTTGCTGTAATTTTATTCAGACCGGCCTCTCTCCATTATCCTACGTTCACCATCTCTTACGCGCACGATCCATCTTCCATTCATGGTTCCCATCGCGCGCGTATATTGGTTCATTACTAAATTACTAAGGAGCATTAAGTGGTATTTTCATCGTCGGCGACCGTCAGGTTTCCCACGCCCTCAAATTTCGATTCGATTTGCGAATTGGCACCGAAGCGCGAATAATAGTAACATTATTCGATTAAAAGCGCGCAGCGAAAGCAAAGAAAGTACATATTTTTTTTTTGTAATCGATACTAACATTTTTATTTTCATATCGAGAAAAGAAATCCAACGATTTGTTGAATTTTCAACGAAATATTGTAGCGAGAGGAAACTCTTAATATATATCAAGAGACACATTTTCTCTGTATACGCGACGTAATATATTTGAATGGTGAAGACATTACGGACGATATTATAGTCACCCGGCGCAAGAGCCGTATGCGAAATATATCATGTGTTTCTTGAACCTGGAAATGCAGGGTGGCCTCAAAAAAGGAGGATTTAGAGCGCTAACGAGATTCCGCGGTTCTCATTGACGCGCACAGCGGGACGCATTGTTTCCTCTTGGGCATCTCGCCGGCATATGTATCTCTCCGAGTTCGCTATGTACATCTCTCTTTCTCCCTCCTCTCTTCTTTCTCTGTCTCTCTACGGATGCATGTGCAACGCCTATTATTATCGCTTAACGGCAGAATGGAGAGCTCTCCCGTGTTGCGCTTTCCCTTGGTCTCACAGGTAGCGTAGCTGCCACACGTAACATTTATCCGCGAAAAGCGAGTGAACGTGCTTCTCCGTAGTAAAACGCTTTTCGATAATAATGTCATCGGATGAGTGCGCCGATGACATAAGTGTACGTGAACGACGCGAAGCAATGATAATGTGCGTGGAGCGCAACGCTCGGTGCATCATATGTATTATATGCCCGAGCGCGAGAGAATAAAGTTCGGTTACTAATCCTACGCTAATCTGTGTAGTAAACAAAATCTCGCTTTCTCTCTCTCTCTCTTTCGCTCTCTCTCTCGCGCGCGCGCTCGCGCGTTACTGTATATATCGTTTTCGCGTCCGTGTGTCGGAATTTAATAGCTCGATATGGCGCGAGTCCATTAACTGTAGAGTTTCGCAAATTGAAGCGTACTTGGATCCGCGCACGACCCAAGCCTTCACTAATCCATTAGCAACACATATTGAGAATTGTTGTAGTTTCGGGGGAAAAAAATTGGTAAAAAAAATGTCTCTATCTCCGTTCTCTATCATTTATATAGCGTGTACAGAAGTATCTTTCTCTCGGTTCTATCTCTATTTCTCTCCCTCATCTCTATTCTCTCTCTCTTTCTCTGTGCTACACACAAATCGATTCGCACGACTTGACTGTAATTCACAAATCATCGAAACGTAAAAAATTGGACCGAGTTCCATCGTTTGTTAATATCGTTTACCATCGGAGTAGCAAACACATTGCGCTTTCCCTTGGGCAATATATCGTATACACGGGATGTGTTTGGCGCAGCACTACAGCTTAAATCCAATTTTTCGCATCAAATTTTCATGCCATATTATATAGAAAGATTCTCTCTACACTCCACCGCGAGGAATCCATTTGCGAAAAATTGAATCTAAGACGTTTTGCCCGCATACCGAATATTCGTACCCATCTACGGAATTCAAATAACTGTTGTAGTCTACGGAGTCTGTTCGCAAACAGGAAATGCGTCAGGAATACTGTACCTACAATTATCCTTAAGATTCTCGTCTCGATTTAGTTTCATAATATAACTGTCATTTATACTTTTAATTAAAATGAAAAATGTTGCGACACATGCAATTATAATTATAAAGATGCATACAATTTCTGAAAATTTTTGATTTGATTATTAAGATTTATTTATCATATATATTTGAACAAATTATTCAAATTATTCGATGAACACTGTTAAATAACAGACAATAAAAAAAAGAAAAGGAAAAAAAGTCTTTTTTTTTCAGGCAAAATTCAAATAACTGAATATTCGATATGCGATGAAAGCATATCCGTAAATGAATGCGAAACACATCGTGACAAAGTGCTATGCTCGTTCTGCGTGGCTTTCTCGTACATAGGAAGTTCAATTTCGTTCTTCAACCTCGACGGTCCTCATCGTCTCCTTCCGGTAGATGTAGGGCGCTGCCAAGAATTCGATGGGGCATCATTTCTTGGCGCAGCACTTTTAGCGGTGGAAAGAAAGCGAGTCACAATGGCATTGTACGAGTCGGCCCTTGTAATATCGTTGTAATCGAATCATATATTGCGGCACATAATACTCATATACCTCTAAAATATACTTACGTAATTGAGATTTTATTTCGTGCCTCACGCAAAGTGTACACAAAAATATTTCCTACCTAATATTTTGCGAATAGACAATATTTTTTATAATATATTTTATCATATCAATTTTAACAGACGATTAATGCTCGATTATTAAATGATTTAATAGTTATTATCGCACGTGTGCGTTATATTTTTGACATAATTTGATCTTCTATTTAAATTTAAAGTAATATTTTTATTCACAAAATTGATTTGATTCTTAAATTCAAACAATGTAATATAATGAAAATATGCACATTCCTTGACGGTAACAAATTCCACTCTTCTTTGCATAGCCATGGTATCTCTTTTTTCGAGAATTTCTTGCCACACGCAGGAATTCCGCGGCGACATTACAGAAGAGTCATCTAAAAGAAAGAGAGAGAAAGAGAAAGCAAGGATTAATGAGAAAAGAGGAAAACGCATGAAGAATGATAAAAAAAGATATGCCGGAGGAGAAAAACAATTATATATCTCATTTCTCCTCAAATGCGCTATTTTTAACTACCTTTTTCACTACGTTTATATTCGCCAAAAGAATTATTCTTTTTGTGATCTCTCTATATTTATATTTATTATATTAAGTATATATAAAAGTTCTTTTTCAAAAAAATTTTAAAATATTTTATATAAGTGTATTATAAATCTCTTCCAAAAGAAAGAAATACACATGTAGTAAGTAATAAACTGAAAAATGTCTCATAAATATGTTTAAAATGCATATTCATAAATCGTATTTTTTTGAAAAAATTGTTGACAATATAAAAGAGCAAAATTATCTCAATGGGCGACATATATTATATATGATATATTAAAGAAATTCGCTCTATATGTACATTGATCTGCGACTGAAATTACGTTGAAAGTTTAATAGCGTATTTGAAAAGACTAGTAATGAAAAGGATTAGTGTGCAAAGCTATAGCGAATATCCGATAATTCGCAAGTCTGGATAAAAGATATAAAATTAACGAAAGTCTCGGTCTCTTTCATCTCCATTCGAAGATTCTCGATACACACGAGTTTCTTTCCTTTGAAAACTTTCTCTAGCAGATCAACTTTCGTATCGGGCACCTATTTAGAGCGAAACGCGAAAGGATGAGGATGCAAATGGAAAATGAAGGTAAAGATTACTATGTGTAACAAGGAAAAAAATAAATAAAATGTTATATAAGCCGGAGACTCATAAGCTGCAGGAAGCTGAATTCACTTGTTGCACTTTGTAAATGAAATATTATACATATGTATATGTCGCGTATATAATAGAGGTGGATGTAATTAGGTTTGATAATCTGTCATTTGCCTCTGGATCTCCAATTGGAAATGCTTTCTCTCTTAAATTTTAAGATTCTAAAAAAATAAGAAAAGGATTCTATTTTTTACGCTGTCAGACAACAATATAAAATACAACAAACGGAGTGCAAGAGTTCGGATGCAACAAAAAAAAAAAAAAAACTAGTCACATCCAATTCTGTTTATAATGAACTGTCGAGCGCACCAAACGATGATGCAAATTTACCTACATTCAGAATCAACATCACCCTTTCGTTTGCATTCGACCACTCTACCGTATCATTTCTCAACAAGCTTATACTTGGATTTCAACCCCAAAAAGATGTAAGAAGAGAAAAGATGAAAAAAGTTGCTTTATTATTTTAAAGCAACATAGAGCACTTACAATAAAAAAAATAAATAAATAAAATAAATAAAAAAATAATAAGAGTTCTAAAAAAATATTACAATAGAGTAACGAATGAGATATTTATGCCAAAATAAATCGTAGAGAATATACAAGATTGGAGAACTTGAAATCATGAGAACATATGATAATGTTCACATCGAGATGAAAAGAAGAGAAACGAAAGGGAGCAAAGAGAAAGAAACAGAGGTGACGAACGCGAGCCAAGCAGCGGTAGCAGCAACGACGCGACGCAACGAGGAGGAAGCGGCGCGTGCCGTCGAGTGGAGGCAGAAAGAGGTCCAGAGACACCGGAGTCCGCGTTCAATACGCATGCGAGGTAAAGCGTGTGCGCGGGCGCGTACAACACGGACCTCTTTTCGATCGACGGTGTCGGTGGCGGCGGTGGCGGTGGCGACGGCAGGAACGGCGACGACGGCGGGGTATCCGCGACGACGACGGCGACGACGACGACGGCAACGACCCCACGACGTCGACGTCGGCTGGCTCTCGCGTCGGTGGCGGCACCAGCGGAGGCCGCAGCAGGTGAGCGGCGATGTGCGGCGGCCGCACACGGTTCGGCCCCCGATACAGTCGTGGAGGGAGTGCGAAATCACGCTGACGCTGTGAGTGGCGCGCATCACGTCGTCGTGCTTGAAGCCGCTCGAACGTGCCGATCGAACGTGTCAACGAGGACGCGAGTGAACATCGGGTAAATTAAAAAAAAGAACCACGAAAGAAAAGTTGTTATAAGAAGTTGTTAGAAGAAGGTGAGAGTTGCCCTAAAGATCTTCCAAGGGGGTTGAAGAAAAAAAAAAGAATCGATAGTGCGAAAAGAAACTTGGATAGCGTGAAAAAAATAGAACAAACAAATGAAGAAATCAGTGCGGAGGTAAGAGAGGCGAAGTGAAAAAGTATGGGTTAATAGAAGAAGAAAGAGGATTAAAAACGTGTTCGAGAGAAAGAGAACAAGTGATAACGCGCGTAAATCTTTGAATATATTGCGAACAGATCGACGATGTGATCCGGAGAACTGCTACGCGACTTGCCGAACGTACGATCGATCAAGGATCTTCAGGAACCGGAGAGCTTCTGAAAAATAATCCAGTGGTCCAGCGCAGCCTCCTCCGGCGCCGTATGCTTCTCGCGCGTCGCGGACTCGCCGTATCCGATCAGTGCTCGCGCGCGATCCGTCCGAACAACTCCCGGTTCATCTCTCTCCTTCTCTCTCGTCATCTCCCGGAAATTCGTCGCGGACGAGGAGGATGCACGGATATCGCGTGCGGGATAATTCGCGACGTCCGACTTCCGGACTTGATTAGACATCTCTGAAGAGAGATCCGTTGGATCAGTGTGTCGTTTTTCGGAACAGTGCGGGTGGATGTACACCGACGACGCACCTTGGTGATCGGAGTTGCTATGATCGTGCCGCGTCACGTGGAACGATCATGATTTACTTTAGGCCGCACGACGGGAGGAGTCTACGGTACAACGTGAACGCGAGACACTTGAACGTGCTCGTCGTACCACTCTTTCCGCTCTGGATTATCGGCGCATTCTGCGTGAAGGACAGTAAGTGGCTGTTGAATTTGTTGTTGTGTTTTATCCTATTTACGCGAACTGAAGCGCGCGGATCGACCTGATTCTTACTTTTCCCTCTGATCGTTCATCAACTTTCCAGTTACTTACTTAACAAACGTGAACGAGTTAAGCAAGTTTTTCAAAGTGTTAAGTAGGCAACTTAAAAATTCTGTTTCATACCAGGATAGGTTTCATAAAAATTCAATTCGTGCTTAATTACATAATTTATAATTAAAGTGAGCCATTAAACTGATTTTGATTTCGGTTATAGAAAAAGTTTTTTTTGGAGCAAAATGTTCTTTACACATCGAACGACATACTCTGTCTCGAGTACACATGAATCTGAACTTTATTAAAAGTTGCGTTGAAATATTTAATTCCACGATGAAGCATAAGCTTTCGCAGTTGGAATGAAAAGCATACATAGCGCATTTCATCGACCAACTCTCGTCTATCATCGTTGATTATCGCATATATAAACGATGTTTTGTGCCGAACGGCGTCGCAGTCGGCTCACAGTCAAACCGGGACGAGCTTAGGAATATTTTAACACCAACGGATCAAAGGCGCTCTCTTCCCTTTGACGATAGTCGCTTTCGTAGCCAACCGTGCCGTCAATGGTCCGCCGTGTTTGTATATTGGTGACACTGCGGTTCGTTAATCATCACCACTTACTTCGCCACCCCCGTTGGTCATCCGCAAATACGATCGCGCGATATAATACTACGTCGTCTCTGTCGTTTGCACTCTGCCGTGGTCCCTTAAAAGCGACACGTCGGCTCATCGTTACGAGATGGCAAACGGTTTGACAGATGTATAGAAAAAAAAAAAAAAGAGAAAGAGAGAACGGGGGAGAAAAGAATTTGTCGAACTCGCGACGAGTCGCGAGAGATTCACGTAACAAAGGCCGCGTAACAATTCTGGAATGCGACGAGACGAGGCAAGTTTGACGAACGGGAGCGCGAAACTGTGTCAAATCAAACTTCGTTCCTTATTGTGCAATTCTATTGTCCCGTAGATGAAGATACTCGGGAGAGAGGTAAAATCTTCCTCCCTCCCTTTCTCGTCCCCTTTCCTCCCCTATCTTAATCCCAAAGGAAGAGATCTCATTTCTCGCCACGCTATTTCTGCATATCTGCCTTGCGATGCCTGCTGCGACACGCGACGCGAGAATTGATCGAATAATTATCGCAACAAACCGGAAAAGTTTCTTCGCCGCGTTATCGCAGTGACTGCACGAGAGAAAGTTGATAATTTCCTGTCGACGAAGTGTTTCACTGGAATGAAAGATATTAGCGCGCTCCGTAGTAAGCGAGAAGTGTTAATGACATCTAAGTGTGGTCGAGGGATGCTTGAAAGACTCTCACTAGATTGTCGTGATAATCTTAACGGCTTCACTATTCAAATTTCCTCTACTGTATAATTTCAACTAGCGACTCGGAGAAAATGTTGAAAATTAATTAAGATACTTATGTGTAACATCTTCTTTCGAATCACTTTACTTTAATCTAGCTGGAATTAATGGATGTGTATTGCAAATTACACAATGAAATAGCGAGTTTTTTAAAAATATTTTCTATTAAAATTGTAAATTTGAATATTGATTAAATAGGTAATTATCGAAATTTTCGGAAAACTATATTTTTATCACAAAATTAGAAAAATTCTTATCAATTAGTATATCGGATTAGGTCGATAATGTACGTATTCACATGTCTCTTCATTAGAATAAATTAAAAGGTAAGGTTCATCACAGATGAAAATTGATATATAACTAGATCGACTATACGATAAATTGCCGGTTGAAGCTGAACGTAGCACTTTCACGCGCACTTAGAGATTGCGTCAAAGACAAGCATCCTATTTTACTACGGAATGCCGGTCACTTAACGGGGGCGAATAGAGGTAGATCGTGGTCGGTTTCCGGATGAAACGTTAGAAACCTCGGCAAGCGGGGATGACCGAACGGACGATTGGCTACTCTTAGTTGGTATTCAGTTGATTCCTCCTACCGAATATATAAGCGTGCATAGCTGCTTACAAAGGAACGCGTTGGCGAACGGCGATATTCGGCGCACGAGATGTTCCGTTTTAGCAAGCAGTGTCGACAAGGCTATAGACAAACGGCTATAGCGAAGCGCGGAATTCCAAAGAGTCGAGGAAATCTCGTTTCCATTGTTTGTAATCGAGATTTAATATCGATGCAATTCTCTCTACCGGCGCGCGAGAAGAATACATTTGCTCCGAAAGTTCCGAATCATCCACCCGTCGAGTGCACAGAACGTCACGATTTCAGATGTGCCCTTTTGTACCGTTTACAATATGAGTTATATATTTAATTAGCGCGAGAATTTAATTGAAAAAAAATATATTCTATTGTTTTAAACGATTCCACGTTCGCGACGAGAGTTTTTAGAGACTCTAAAATCTCCTACGGGGATTTCTCGCAGTCGAATTCTGTCTGTTTAAAACTCGCTTGTTCTACTAAATTTTTTGTAATAAGCGTCTCGAGTATAATTCACACAGGTACAGCTGTTTCATTATCATTGTCTAACAAAAGTTTGTTCTGCGATCTGCGAACAAATTGTTTAATTATCTGTCAATGATTTTATTAATTTTTTATTATTTTATTTTTATTTTTTTATATTTTTATTAATTTTATTTATTACAATTTAATCAAGCAACAATGATTTCTATTCAATAACAGATTTTTCATAATCAAATTTTGTCTGCTTAAAATTCGTTTATTCTACTGAATTTTTTCACTGAATAGTAAGCATCTCGAGTATAATTCATACACATATAGCTCGTTGTTTCGTAAAAATTTGAAAAATTCGTCTATCTGAAAGAATTGTTTTATATTATCTATCAATAATTTTACATTACCGTTTAACCAAACAACAATGATTTCTATTCAATAATAGTGATTTCTCATAGTCAAATTTTGTCTGCTTAAAACTCGCTTATTCTACTGAATTTTTCGCAGCATTACGAATATAATTCATACACATAGCCATTTCATTATCGTTGTCTCACAAAATTTGCCCCGCTGTTTACAAACATTGTTTTGTATTATTTATTAATAATTTTGTTAATTAATTTTGCTTTGTCGTCTAATCAAGCAACAATAATGTATATTTACCACTGGTGATTTCTCATAATTAAATTTTGTTCGCTTAAAACTTGTTTATTCTACTGATTTTTCGTATAATAAGCGTCTCGAATATAATTCATACACGTACAGCTGTTTCATTACCGTTGTCTCACAAAAATTTGCGCTGTTGTCTGCAAAAATGGTTCTATATTATTTATTAATAATTTTGTTAGTCAATTTTGCTCTATTGTCCAATCAAGCAATAATAATCTATATTAATTACAGTGATTTCTCATAATCAAATTTTGTCCGCTTAAAACTTGTTTATTCTACTGATTTTTCGTATAATAAGCGTCTCGAATATAATTCATACACGTACAGCTGTTTCATTACCGTTGTCTCACAAAAATTTGCGTTGCTGTCTGCAAAAATGGTTCTATATTATTTATTAATAATTTTGTTAATTAATTTTGCTTTGTCGGCCAACCAAGCAACAATAATGTATATTTACCAATAGTGATTTCTCATAATTAAATTTTGTCCGCTTAAAACTTGTTTATTCTACTGATTTTTCGTATAACAAGCGTCTCGAATATAATTCATACACGTACAGCTATTTCATTATCGTTGCCTTGCAAAAGTTTGTTCTGCAAAAAATGTTTTATTATCTGTCAATGATTTTATTAATTAATTTTGCATTCCCAACCAAGTAACAATGATTTCTATTCAATAACAGTAATTCAGTACATCTGCCTTTAATTAGTCTTGTCATGCTCAATGATTGGCCTTGCTGATATGCATAACGTACGCGTAAACATGCATCAAAACGTACGGCGCGTCGTTAATATCTCACAACATCCAGACGAACGATAAATTTAGCCGGGTTTATTTACCGCCGGTGGTGATTAATACCAGAGTGGATCGAAATTCTCTGAAATGGCAACAGAGAGTATCCCTCTCTCCCTCTCGTCTCATACTTTGTCATAAGTCAAAAAATTACGACAAGCTCGTGCTACACGTTTATCATCGCTAACAGTTCTCGCAACTCATCATAAGGACGGATTACGTCACGGCGTCATGCGGGAGTTACAGTGTTTCCCGGTAACAGTAGCGGCAGAATAGCAAGCGGCAGTTCATCCTTTCGACAAACAGATTCCCATCTAGCGACTACCATGCGCCCCGCCGAATTTTAAACCGAGCTTAACCTTACCGCCGAGCCGGGCCAAACATGTATAGGGTCGATCCTTAGTTTAACATCGCGCTGAAAGAATGCTTTCTAAAACACTTTCGGGCCAATCCCGTACGTGCCCGAGAAAAACACAGCCAGCTTGATGATCGATAATGCGCTCGCGCGCGTGCTGGAGCGTTCCCATTCTTACGCTCTAATTCTACGCTAAGATGCCTCCACGCCATGTTGTACATTTTTGTGCCCCCAGCGCGCGTTCCTCATTTCATTACGTATTTTCTTCAGAGTCAGACGTGCTGCACGAAGTTGCCTTTTTTTACAGTTTTTTTTTTTTCGCACGACTAACTGCCCTAATTTGTTTCCGCGATATATGAATACACGTGTTGGACATCTTTGTTTAAGAGCGTAAAAACTAAAGTAATGCGATGTAGGTATGTAGATTGACGAAATGCAGCTTGGATAAAACTGATGGTAGAGTTGAAATGTCGTTTTTTGTCATATACGAATTGCCGAATTGTGTTCTATGTGCAGCATTCGTACGAAATTTTCAATTCCGTTTTTAGATAGCAATTCTGCTCCGTATATTGCTTTTTTTGCGCAACACGGTGAGCGAGATGAACATTCTGCTTTTTTCTATAATCGTTCAATACGATTATTAATGTCGTTGTCTCTTTACGCGATACGAGTATTTTTTTGTGCGCAAGAGATAAC